CAGTAAAACTTTACTCTGGGATATTTCCACCTCTAACATTAGTATTCATCCCTCTTCATCTGCGAAGAGTTGTTTTGGGGAGAGATACTCCTTTACATACATTGCAACACCTCTCTTTCTCTCCTCTGAGGCCGCTACAAACAATTTCCCTGCTTTAGGACATTTCAGTAAGTTAACATGTGACAATTTGATATGTGTTTCTTGCATACAGACAATATCCACATTAGTTTTCACAATTTTAGTTAATATACGTCTCCTCTTTGCCGGAGCATTGAGGCCATTGACATTTACTGTCAATAGTCTCACTTCTTGGTCCATCCCTATCTATTGGTCCCTTTAATTTTAGCTGCTAAACGAGTTTCAACCCCGTATTCTTCTATTTCTCCTTCCTCCCATTTCGTTTCCCCTTTCCTTGGTATGCTTGTATTCCTCTCTCGTTTCTCCATTCCTCTTTCTGGTCTTTCTGATTCTTTTTACCTATTTCTTTCTCTCTTTCACCTTCAGTGGGTCCAAAGAAGTTTTCACAAAAATCCTGTGCATCCTGTATGTTTTCAATTTTAATCTTTCGGTCTTGCCAGATCACCAAAAGTCCTTCCGGCAATAACCATTGATAAGGCGCGTTGTGTTTTCTTAATTGCGAGGTTATAAACTGATAACTCTGTCTCTGTTCTCGCACCCTTCTAGGGATCTGCTTTAAAAATGTAATTTGCCATCCCTTATATGTAATGTTCTGGTCCCTGGCCTTATGAAGGGTTTCGTCTCTGAGCGCCTTTTTAGTAAGTCTTATGTGAATTTCTTTGGGCAGATTATGCCATCTCACATAGTTGGTATAAACACCATAGGCCTCATCTATCTCGCTACAGACTTCTTCCTTCTTCCTCCCCACTACTTCAGCAATCACTTCTCCCACAATTTCCTCCAACCGTTCCTCTCTGTCCTCTGCCACATTTTGCAAACGTAAGAAGAAAGCAGACTTCTCCATCTCTAAAAATACTACTTCCTCTTCGAGTTTCCCGACTGCTTGAGCACATCTCCTTTCCCAATTGTCTATTTGAGTTTTCAATTTTTTCCGTAGTTTTTTCAATCTCAGTCAATCTCTCCTCGTGTTTCGTCAGTGTTGATCTCATCTCTCCCAATGTCTCTTTGATTTGTTTCATCTCTCCTCTTAATTCACTCATCTAAGAAATATAAGATGTTCTGTCTTCTCCGGAATATAATTTAGAGTTATAGTACCGAATATTTGTTCACTAAGGTACTATATGGAAGTACATATGTTTACTGTTGTACTGTTTTGTCTGTCATTTTATGTTGTTTGTTTTTTCTTTTTAAATGAAATGTAAATAAAGATTATTTAAAAAAAAAACCTCTTATAAATCAATTTGTAGGATGAGAAACTTGAAAAAGCACAAGAGAACTTAGGTACTAGTCAAAGTGAACTATTTCATCCTTTGATGTTTATCCATGGCACTAAACTTGTGCTGATGTGCACAGAACAAGAACTAGCAATCAGTATAATACTTGTCAGGTCACAGAGGGCTTTGAAGTTCTGTATTTCTCCCTCAAAGAGTTATAGGTGGTTAGTTTCTGGCTTGTTTTCTTCCCCTCCTTCTGCCAAACTGACTTTGACAAGACTCCTGGCTTCTCATCCAGCAGGACATGCCAAAAAAATATGTAAGAAGGAATATCCGGCTTTTTGTCTATACAGTAGTGCTCTATTTGAGTTTAACCAAGAGCTCAAATGACAACGGAAAATTTTGGTTTGAGTTCTTGGTGCTGTGCCCTTTTTTTCTGAAATGCAGAAATTGTATACAATATCAATAAACCTAGAAATAAATAATCTCATATTCTATATTTCTAGAACATCTAGAATTCAGGCATGGGCCTGAAATAGCAGATTGTTCTGGTTGATTATATCAGGACTTGCCTAGAGCCAGTGTGCTCCTCCTAGTCTTCTAGACTGTTTTTTGGCCTTCAGCATCATCAGCCATGGCATCCCCATCAACCATCTTCAAGGGCTAGAGGGGCAATACCAGGGGTGAAATGCTCCAGGTTCAGACCGGATCACCCGATCCGGTAGCAATGGAGGCGGGTGGTTTGGAGAACCGGTTGCAAAAATCCTTGGGCCCCCCCCCATGCCCAGCTGAGCCGCACAATCATCAGAGGCTTTTTTTTTTACTTTTAAAAGCATTTTTTCTACAACCTCTTCGGCAGAAAAAATGCTTTTAAAAGTAAAAAAAAAGCCTCTGATGATCGTGCGGCTCAGCTGGGATCGTCAAAGGCTTTTAAAATAAAAAAACCCTTTTTTTCTTTTAAATGCCTCTGATGATACAAGCTGAGTTGCCTGATCGTCAGAGGCTTTTTTAAAAACTCAGCTTGGGTCGTCAGAGGCATTTAAAAGAAAAAAAAACCCTTTTTTTCTTTTAAATGCCTCTGACGATCCAAGCTGAGTTGTCTGATCAGCAGAGGCTTTTTAAAAAGCCTCTGCCGATCAGGCAACTCAGCTGGGATTATCAGAGCATTTTGAAAGCATTTTTTAACAATCTCTTTGCCGAAGAGGTTGTAGAAAAAATGGTTTTAAAAATAAAATAAAAAAATTGGCCACGCCCACCCAGTCACATTACCCCACCATCACCAAGCCACGCCCACAGAACCGGTAGTAACAAATTTTAGATTTCACCACTGGGCAACACCACCTCCCACCCAAGTACAGGTAGACCTCAACTTACAACAGTTCATTTAGTGACTGTTCAAAATTACATCGGCACTGAAAAAGGTGACTTATGACCATTTTTCACACTTACGACCGTTGCAGCATCTCATGGCCACATGATTTACATTTGGATGCTTGGCCACTGACTCACATTTATGACGGGTGCAGTGTCCTGTGGTCACGCCGTCCCTTTTTGCAACCTTCTGACCAGCAAAGTCAATGGGGGAAACCAGATTCACTTGACCATGTTACTAATTTAACAACTGCAGCTATTCACTTAACAAATGCGGCACGAAAAGTTGTAAAATGGGGCAAAACTCACCTAACAAATTTCTCACTTAGCAACATAAATTTTGGGCTCCATTGTGGTCGTAACTTGAGAACTACCTGTAGATAATATCAATCAGCATACAAGAAGAAAAGGTAACCCCCCTGGATCCTCCAGTCTGAGATGCCACAGTGCTTGTCTTTCTCCCCAATACTTTTTAGCTTCTATCTAGAACTTCTGGGAGAGATTATCTGCTAGATTGGGGTGAGGTATCATCAGTACCCTAATGGTACTGAATAATATATTGTCACCTTAGGGTGGGCTGGAAGTGCTACGAAGACCCTGACTCAGCTTTGGAAGGCTACACGGAACCAGGTGAGACTAAACCACTCAGATTAAATATCTGCAAGATATCTTCTTGTGTAGCTGTTTGATCAATTTGGCTTGATTCCAATTACCAGTTTGGCTTTAGGCTTCCCTAAAAAAGCAGGTTGATGATTTGGGGTTCTCTTGGTCCAGGGGTATCAAACTCGCATTGTCACGTCGTTACGTGATATATTGTGACTTAACCCCCTTCACTAAATGGTGGGTGGGGGTGGCCAGCGCGTGATGCATCCGGCCCGTGGGCCGCGAGTTTGACACCCCTGTCCTGGTTTCATGACTACTGCTCAAGCAGTAGATAGAAGGCATAATCATGGGGGCCTTGTCCAATTTTGGATGATAAGCTAAACGCCTTCAGAGAAAAACCAGAAAGTTCATTTGCCTCTTGAAAAAGCACCTTTAGGACAATAATGTCCTGGATGACTGACAATCTCCAAAGACATTTGGATGGTGTGCCAGTTGTGGGTCTTTGGAGATCAGGACTCTTTTGCAGCAGTGACATATGTCGTCATCACCTCATGGCTAGACTACCGCAACATTCTGAACATTGAACTGCCCTTGAAGGCAACTTAGAAGCTATTGGTTAAAAATGCAGCCCCCAAATTTCATACAAGAAGGAGAATTAACGTTTGCTGATGTCACTTCATTGGTTCCTAAAGGCCACTTAGACCCAATTGAAGGTGCTGGTTTTGATTTTAAAAGCCCTACAGAGTTTGCTTGTTCGTCTGTTCGTTCATTCATACATTCATTACACACCCATCTCATCTAATTGATTCTTGGGCATCTTGGACCAGAGCTTGGCATTCATATACTTGTAGGATCATTTCTCCCAAGCACAAGCAACCTAATTTGTGTGTTCATTTCAAGAGGTCTGTCCAGGTCTTCGCCCCTTGTAAAAATGGGTTGGAATTCAGAAGCACACTTTCTCTCTGGCAGCTCACACAATCTGGAAAGATTTCCCCCATATGTATGGGAAGGCCTCATCTTCCTTGCAATCTTGCTATGAAACCCAATCTCTTCCAATGGTATAGCTCTTGGTGTGGGCAACAGACCCCTGGCCTGCATTTTAATTTTTCCTCTGTGAATTAAGTTTTATTTTTCTTTATACACATTATTCTGGAGTAGTGGGAAGTATGGAAGTGCTATTAAATTCCTGCAAAAAGTGGAAATTTGGGGGGGAGGGGAACCCCCAGGTTTAGGGAAGAATCCTGTTCCTCACACTTTAAATGTGACTGCGATTCCAGAAATGTGGCGCAGTGCCATGAATCCGAATCTTCTCAGCATCAGAAAAATTGACTAAAGTCGAGAGCCAGAAATAACAGTGCAGTTACGGAATTGCAGCGTTGGAAGGGACCTTAGAGGTCACCTAGCCCAACCTCCTGCTCAAGCAGGAGGCCCTTCCCCCCAAAAAAATTCCTTCAAACCTCCGTCGAAGGTTTTTGTTAGTGGCGGGTTCACAAAGTGGCCCTCCTTTTTTGGCGATACAAAGACCCGAATCTGGGTTTCGAGCGTTAAAAGTGAGATGTCGGGAGTCCTCGCACCTCTGCTGAGGAAAAACCACACCCCAAGATACGTCAGACTTCGAAAGGGCGAGGAGAAAGGATCTGGGCCGTTGCCAACAAACGCTCCCACTCTCGGCCACCGGCCCTCCTTTCTTTGGGCGGATCTGACTAAGAGGGGCCGCCCCGCCTCTCCCATCCACCCCCATGAACTTCTGACTGGGACGCCACCGGCCTTGGAGCTCTGAGCACCTGAGTCTTCGCCCGTCTTAGCAGCATGGCTAAGCTCACCCCCTGGCAGCTTCTGGCTACGGGTAAGTAAGTGCCTCCCTCTGTGCTACTACTTGGCGCTTCTTCCCATCTCAGCTGGGATCCACGCCGCTTGGGGATTTGTAAATTTCCCGAAAGCCCCTCTCGCTTTTTCCACGAGAAGTTGGCGGTTAGGCGCAAAATCTCAATAGCTAAAGCGGAGGTTCCGGGGTGCCTTCCCGTCTTCGGCATGGGAAAACGTTGGGTTCAAATCAGACTTTATTATTATTATTATTATTATTATTATTATTATTATTATTATTATTATTATTATTATTATTATTATTATTATTATTATTATTATTCCAATGCTAAACCCTGCCTTGAAGCGGCCGGTGGGGAGCTCGTTCATTAGTAAGAGAAACCAAGTGCTCCCTGCCCGATCACGCTAGATCGAGATTCTGCGAAATGGATTTTAAAACTTTTCCTTCGCGCTTTTTCTTTCTTTCTTTCTTTTTTTCAATCCATCGGGACAGACAGAAGGCATTGCCTGTTCTGTTCCAGGCCGTTTAACCTTTTCTCTACCGGCCCTTTGTTTTCTCCAAAAAAAAATCACTCTCGCCACGCCCCAAAGTTAGGGAGAAACGGCGGAGAAGCGTGAATGGAAATCGTTTTTCATACCTCTTTAAAAGTTGATACAATATCCCGGGAGAAAAGTAAGGAAGCTGTGGAAATAGCTAGGAATACGCCGGGCAATATTTATTCATCTGGAGCATTCTCCTCTAGGGACTAACGCTGGGTGTACATCGTAATTCTCCCCACTTTACCCTCATAGCAACCTTATAAAACGGATTGTTGTAAACTGAGAGAGGGTAAACTGGTCGAAATCGTTCGTAAAACGTTAGGGCTGAATGCTCAAGGGACCTGAATCTGTCTGGTCTTTAATTAACTGGTATTATTATTCAGAGTCACAAAATTCCAGGTTTAAAGTTCTTCTCCAAGCAAGGTGATAAATGCCACCACCAAAAGAGAAGAAAAACATATTACTTAGCTGTGAGTTTTGAGAAGGGCAAATGGTTAATTACTTCCTTAAGAGTATCAAGCACTACTTGCCCTTTGAAAAAAAAAGAAGAAGGAAGGAAGAGAAGGAAGGAGACACAAATTCTGTAGCAACAACAAACTGCAGCACCAGCTCATCCTGGAAAGTGTGCCTATATGTGCAATCTATCCGAATCGGAAAAATCTGAGACCACAGACTTAATGCTGAAGTAGCCGAGTGAAAGAACAAGGGAAGGAAATCTATGAGAAATAAAATCACACATTAAATTGAGGATTTACTAGATCAAAAGAAAGAGAATGGTACATAAATTTAATAAATATGGAAGGAATATGTCATTTTTAGCAGGTATCTATACATCTGGCTGTCGTTGGAAATAGGAGTTGAAGACATTGCGTGTCCAAGAACTGTCCAGGTTTTGAGAAGATGTGAGAAAAAGGAAACTAAAAGCAGATTGGAACAACTTTTAAAAGGGAGGAGAAACTTGTGCAGTCTTTAGGAGGGTTGCAGATGTTCAGTTTCTCATAAAAAGTTGGGTGGGGGTGTTGAAAAGAATTGGTTTATGGACCAAGTAATAATAGTACCATGCATTTCTGTTCTGTCTACTACAGTAGCTTAGTTGTGACAAAAACTGGCTTAGCTTCTGAAGAGAGAATGGAAAGAAAGTTGAGAAACAGCTATGACAGAATGGGGTGGGATAGGAGGCTATTTAGTGGGGCAGCAAACGTAATACTTCCTTTTGAAATAGGATGGGAGGAATGCTTTTTAAACCATTTTACGAACAAATTTAGTGAATTAAAACAATAAAACCAAGTTTTCCCTTCAGGGTGAAGGCTGCTTTTCCTTCTCCCGGGCTGAGGGGAGCGGAAACAATAAGGAGATTTTTCAGCTTGCAGTTTGGCAAGTTTCTGTGAAAAGCTCTTTCATGATTATTTATGTTATTTATATCCTGCCTTTTCTTACAGGAGCTCAAGGCAACATAAAAAACACAAAAACAGTGTTTATCCAAAACGCTGAACAACAGCCAACCATACTTCAGTCTAACATATTGTGTGAACTTCAGTATGTGATGTGAACACAGAAAAATTGGGTCAATAGAGAAAGGCACCGTTTATTTAACTGATTTATTTAACCGTGGATATGCGTGTCATGTGAACATAGCCTGTGAAAGAGAGGACTCTTGATGTCATGCCAAAGACTTCTTTCAGGGAAAAAAAATGGAAAATGAGCGGCTCTTCTTTCTTTCTCAAATCGTATCAATGGCATGAGGTTACAATCTTAAACATACTTGATAGTGGGATTTACTTTGTAGGGGCTTTATATAGGAATATACTATTATTCCTGGCATGAGCTCAAGACTTACTTGTGTGTGTGTTATTCTTACAAAATATTCTCCCACCTTCTTCCAATCTGTTTGGAGGTGCTGCTTTGTGCATTCTCTTTAGAGCTGCAAAAACACACTGTCAGGATTTCTGGAGCTGGTTCACAGACATTTGACCAGCTGGCTTCTCAGTCTTGTCTTGATGTCATAGGGTCAAGCTATGGCTTTATCAGAAAGCTTTTCCTGAAGAGTTGATGGGCCTTTTGTGTTTTAACCTACGGTGGCTGAGTCAGTGCTAACTTTGGCTCCCTCTTTTTTAACATTTATATTTTTAGACTGGATATTGTCTAAAATATTGTGCCTTTAAATCATACAGGCTTCTGTGGGCAAAAGCACAGATAGTCCTCGACTTGTAACCATTCGTTTAGTGACCATTCAAACAACACTAAAGAAAGTGACATGACTGTTTTTCATACTTATTACGACTGTTGCAGCATCCCAGGGATGGGTTCTACTTACCTTTATTACCGGTTCACAGTGGGGCTGCGCGCTCTTCTGTGCAGAAGCATTTTGGTGACGTCGGGGTCGGTGGGCGGGGCCTCCCGCCGGTTTTACTACCGGTTCTGTAGAACCGGTGCGTACCGGGGGCAACCCACCACTGCAGCATCCTCATTGTCATGTGATCAAAATTCAAATGCTTGGCAACTGATTCATTATTATGGTTGCAGTGTCCTCGGAGTCATGTGATCACCTTTTGCAACCTTCTGACAAATAAAGTCAAAGGGAAGCCAGTTTCACTTAACAACTGTTACTGATTTAACAACTGCAGTGATTCACTTAACAACTGTGGCAAAAAAGGTTGTAAAACGGGACAAAACTCACTTAACAACTGTTTTGCTTAGCAACAGAAAATTTGGTGGTGGTGGTAAGTTGAGGACTACCTGTATAGAACTTGGTCAGTTATAAATAACATATGTTTTAGGGGAGTAGGTAGTACTGTATTTGATTGAATTTATTTAGTTACATTTAAGATGATGGGGAGCCAGTTTGGTGTAGTGGTTAAGACACCAGGCTAAAAACTGCAGACCAGTTTCTTAGACACAAAGCCAGCTAGATGAGTTTGGGCCAGTCATGCTCTCCAGCCCTAGAAAGAATGCAATGGCAAACTCTGAAATCTTAGCAAGAAAACTGTGGGGACTTGTTGAGGCAATTGCCAGGAGTCAACACAGGGAGGGAGGGAGGAAGGAAAAAACATATAATCTTTACTAGCATTGAAAGAATTTTTATGCGAGTTTGTATATACAATTAACGACTAGTCAATAACAATTAGGTTCCAAGGAGAATTCAGAATGAATTCAGAGTGCTCAGTGGGACCCAGATCGCCCATTGGAAGACTCTTGTATGAACAAATCTCTTCCTAAACAATCCTGAGCAAAGACATGTTTAGTTTAATGTGTCTGAAGAGGTGCTGTCTGTGTACAGTAAGGATCACATTTTGTTCAGATTCTTGTTCATCCGTAATAACAACAGCAGTAATAAAAAGAGTAAAGTTTCCATAGCACTTCATTTTTAACTTTTTATCAGTTAAAACTTTTTAACTGATGACTGTTTTACACATCACCATGTATAAAGCAGGATTTTTCCATATAGTAATGTTTACGCCAAACTCTAGATTTAGTTTTGGACTCAGATACCATGTATAATCCATATATAATCCAATCTGGAGCTAAATTTGATTTAATTCAAGACAGTTAATACTAAAATACTGTTTGCCAGGTTAAGATTTACAATTCAGAGAAAACTTTTCAAATGACTTTGGGGGCCATATATATGGGTTTATAGTGAAAGGACATCAAAGGCTGCAAATAATATGCCACTCAGGTACATTAGGACACCCGGGATCTTAGCAAAAAAATTAAGCAATGGCCTTATCTATAGTCCACACTAAGAGACATGATGGCTCAGAGGCTAAGATGCTGAGCTTGTCGATCGAAAGTTAGGCAGTTCAGCAGTTCAAATCCCTAGTGCCACGTAACAGGGTGAGCTCCTGTTACTTGTCCCAGCTTCTGCCAACCTAGCAGTTCGAAAGCACGTAAAAAATGCAAGTAGAAAAATAGGGACCACTTTGGTGGGAAAGTAACAGCATTCCGTGCGCCTTTGACATTTAGTTATGCCGGCCACATGACCACAGAGATGTCTTCGGACTGTGCTGGCTCTTTGGCTTTGAAACGGAGATGAGCACTGCCCCCTAGAGTCAGAAACGACTAACACATATGCGCGAGGGGAACCTTTACCTTTACCTATAGTCCACACTAATCCTTTACTTTGTTCTCATTGGTTCCATCATAGTTTTCTGGTTACTACTCTTCTTTGAGAAGAACTTGTAGTCTTGGAAACAGTTGAAGGGGCCACGATATAAGGCAGAAAGATTATATTTTTAACTTTAAGACATATTTTACTATTTGTCATGTTGACAACTTCCTGGAATTATACATTCTTTGACCCTAGTTCCACTTCTTAAGGGACTTTTCGAGGGAGGTAGGGATGACATCAGTGTAATTTAGCAATATACTGTTTTTCAATTGCAAAACACATAGATGGCAAATTCTAAATCTTAAGTGCTTATAGAGACTGAATGTCTAGGCCTGTTGCTTAGTTGAAGCTCTTTTGCTCTCGATAGAGTAAGC